CTCTTGAAGAAAGATACCTATCCAATATGTATATATCTTCTTTTATTTGGTCCAGCAATATGTTAGTGCCAATGGGAAAAGTCATTGGCTATCAAAAATATAAAATACCTAAAGGTGAGGTTTCAAACAGTTTCAAATNATTTGGTCCAGCAATATGTTAGTGCCAATGGGAAAAGTCATTGGCTATCAAAAATATAAAATACCTAAAGGTGAGGTTTCAAACAGTTTCAAATACTTTTTCTTGTACTTTTTTCTCCCCTGCACAATATGTTTTGATGTGTGTGTGTGTGTATATATATATATGAATTTAAGAGTAGATAACAATTTGTAATTGGTATGATCTGACTCTTGGCACCCATAATCGCGAAATCAAAGCTAGAAGATGCTGGGCATGAGCCTAAATCAACCACTAATCTGAATTTTATGATCAAATTGATGGTCACCTAGACTTTATGTTTGGTCTTTTGTCTATATATACTAAGCTTCCTTAGTTTGAAAAATGGTTTGAGGAAATTTTGTGTTTTCTTCAAAATGTTCATTGACCCATCAGAGAGAGTGTAATTTCCCATATCTTTGGTGGAACTAAGAGGGAAATTCATGCATTCATAACCAATCTTATTCCTTTCCTTAAATCTCCTCCACAAGTCCTGAAATAGGGTCGATGTTATTTAATTTCCAATGAAACTAGTGTTGGTTGATCAACATCAACTTTAAAAGGTCACATCTTGTATGAGACCTCTTCTCCCTTCTCTCAAATCGTCTAACAACCCCCTTCAAACCATTGGTCGATCATATTCCCCCCACTCTCTCTCTCTCTCTCTCTCTCTCTCTCTCTCTCTCTACATGAACAAGATTCAAGCATATGATTGGAGTCAAAGACTTTGGGCACTGAGGATGTATTGTATATACTGTTTTGTACAACTAGGCTAACTGCTATATTGGTACTCCAGTAAAAGATTGTGTGTATATTTCAACTTTAGTATTGAAAAGGCAACTTTCTTTTAACATGAATAATAAGTACAAAGAGTTGACCAATCTGTCTGATAATTCGTATGATTCTGCTTTAATTGGTGATAATGGGCGATCATGAATTGATGATCATGGTGGTAGGAGGTTTTGGAATGCTTAGGAGAGTAACGTAGTAGATGTTTGTATATTCTAATACATGTAGTTCATGAATGAAGGTATATTCCAAATGTTGCCATCGACACTACAATGGGAAAATAAAGACATCCATAGTAAATAGTCATCTTCTCCAAGATAAGCTCTTCATTCAGGGCAGCCCAACAGTATGAAAACAAAAATATGGATTTTACGCCCTAAATTTTTAAAAAGTTTCATAATTTTAGGTACATCACTAGTCTACAAAAAAAAATTAAATATATTAAATTTTAAGCCCTATAAAAAAAACCCAAAAAAAATAAATTTAATCAAATTTTTTATTGTAATAATTTGGACTTATAATCCAATTCATAACATTAGGAACTTAGAAATTAAAAATATTAAAAAAAATAGTCAAAAGTCAACTCATATTTATTTTCACCCTCTCTCTCTAGTAAAAATTAAATAAAAGTTGAAATTAAACACACTCTCCCTCTTTGTGATTAAAAACAAAAATAAAAATAAAAATCTCTTTCTCGACAATATTAACACGTCTTTCTTTTGTCTCTCTCATATAGAAAATAAAAAATAAATTAATTTTTTTTAAAAAAAATACTAAAAATAAAAATACCTTCATTTAATATTTCCGCTTTAGACTTTAAATTAGCATGAGTGGCCTCTGTCTTTCATTTTCCTTCCCGTTGGTTTCTTAGGTAAGAACCCAAGTTGGAAAAATATCCAACCAAAAATAAAGTCCATCCAATCATCTGCTCTAGGTGTGCTTCCATTGTCATAAAGCCCACCTCAAGAAATACCAGCAAAACATTGGGGTTAATACTAATAGTCTCTCTCTCTCTCTCTCTCTCTCTCTCTCT